AGCACTGCATCTCCTCTGAGTGTCCGAATGCGTTACTCTTTCCTCCTAGTTGTAGGAATTCCACTCAGCCAGCGTTCCTGTGGTTCTGGATGATGTCCCTTCCGTCTTTTAGTTTCACTTTTGAAATGGTTGTTCAAGGCAGCAAACTCCAGCGTTAACCTATGCCGCCATCTTGGTTCTCCATCACCTGTGCTTCTTTCTTTCCAAGTGCACAACGTAAAAGTAAAGGGAGGCTGTGTGGTCTGGCCATACACAGACTATGCATTTCAGGTGCTGGATGTGTTACCTTGCTCCTGTGTGATCACAGGCAACTACTTAACCTTTCAGGGCCTCAATTTCCTTATTGGTGAAAGGGGATAGTGGTGGTACTCCTGGATTAATGAGGATTAAGTACAGCCAGTTAACATATGTAAATTGTAAAGCACTTGCTAAGTGTAGACAGTGTCCATAAATTGTAGCTGTCACTGTTACAAGTTTCATAAGACATTTCTGAAAAAAATAATATTTAAAGCATTTAATTTTAAAAATCATTACAGCATTGTAGAAGGATGGCATTTACAGCCATCTATGAAGCAGAGTGATGTCCATGGGTGAAATCCAAGGGTAAGAAGCTTGTTTCTAAATGGAATAAGGGAGTTCCCGTGTACAAAACAGTCCCTAAATTCGACTTCTAATGAAAAATACAATTCAGTTAGTAGAAGATGGTAGTCCCCCCAAAACAGTAATTGAGCACCCACTGTGATGTGTTGTGTGCTGGAGTATTTGCTGGTGATTCATTCAGACATGAAGGAGACCCAGACTCTGCACGGAAACCCCTTTATAGCCAGAGTCTCCAAGACCACGCTGTTATCAAGGCAGGCCTAACTGTCAGTCTTTAAGAGAAAAGCCCGTCTTTTTAAAATCCTCTAATGTTGACATTTGTTTCTTATTAAAATAGTTCTCATGCTTCCTAGTTATATTCCCACAAGAAGACAAATGTTGGTATTTGGGAGAAAACTTTTTAAAAATTTTAATCATTAAGTAATGTACATGATGTGGAATGGAGTGAAACGTTAATCCTGTATGCCTTTTCTTTGGATATGTGCGTTATTGGAGGGGTTTTGAACACTCTCCAAGATAGAGCATAAAAATTTACTTCAGTGTGACTCACTACATGTCATTAACTTCTTAAATATGCTTCTTTACTCTTTCAGAGTTACTGGAGAATGTAACCCTAATACATAAACCAGTTTCATTGCAACCCCGTGGACTGATCAACAAAGGAAACTGGTGCTACATTAATGCTGTATCCTTCTTAGATGCTCTCCGAAGGCCGACTTACTACAGCTTTCTCATCCTCAGCCTCCATGGGGCATCTACCCTAAATTTTGAATCCAGAAACGTGGTTCCTTAGTTTGCCTACCTTGCTTCAAAACAGTGTTATTCCTCATGCTGCAGAAAGATTTGTTGATCTGGTAATGACAGAATCAGGCAAGTTTTATTCTTAGTAGAGTGGTCCCAAATACTAGGGCAGAGTGACCATTTACAAATGGAAATTTTGTTTTCATTGATTTATCTTGGTTGAGCCAAGTGCTGATCGCAGAGTAAGCCCTTAAGTGGGTATCAGAGGCCGTTACCCCCGTGATGATTTGGTTTATTCTCTTTTGTGTTTACATATCTAAGTTGTTCAGTGTCCTTGGCTTATTTAGTTTTATGTGCTCTTGTGCTTGATGTGCCTTTTGGAAATTTAGTGTCTGTTTCATTTCCTTTACACTTCCTTACTGCCAATATTTAGACACTGCAGGCACTGGTTGCTTGCCCTCCGATGTATCACCTGATGAAGTTCATTCCTCTGTATTCAAAAGTGCAAAGACCTTGTACTTCAACACCCATGATAGACAGCTTGTAAGTAAGGTGCTTAAAAATCTGTTGAAGGGGAGTGGGTTTTTCCCTCTCTGATTATTAGAATTCAAATAGTTTAGCAAAGTTTTTGATTTCCTATGCTATTTAAAAAAAATTTAGTATTCATGATATTATATGGAAGTTAACCAGAAATGGAATTGGAGCATTGTTTATCTGTTTTCTTCAGAGTCTGTGAAATAAATTTTAGTGTTTACCAGCTTATCATTTAAAATATACCAAAAGGTTATATAGAAAAGATTTAAGAACTGTCTAGCTGTTAGAGCATTGGTGGCCTAAAATTTGCTATCTCCATACTAATTAATATTGTACTTAGCCATCAAGGCTTTTTAATAAGAGCATTTCTTATAAAATAATGTACTTCTAACATTTTCCCCCCTCGTGTTTAGTGTTCGGCTAATGAATGAGTTTACTAATATGCCAGTACCTCCAAAACCCAGACAAGGTGAGTAAAATGAGCTCTTCTGATGTATTACATATTGGGAGCTTGAAGTCAGATGACTGAATTTGATAAATTCAGTCTTATTGGGAAGAAAAATTTTTTAAAAATAGATGTTACTCTATCTACGCTATTTTCAGCATTGGGTGGGTGTAGGAGGGAGTTTTAATGATTTTGCTTTTTGTCACTTTTAGGCTTCCTTTTTGTTATGAAAATCTATGTTCTGTTTCCATTGCAGCTCTTGGGGATAAAATCGTGAGGGATATCCGCCCTGGAGCTGCCTTTGAACCCACATATATTTATAGACTCCTGACAGTCATCAAGTCGAGCCTGTCTGAAAAGGTTTGGGACTCCTCTAACGTAGCCATTGGAGTGTTGCCTTTTACTCCATTTTGTGCCTTAACTGTTGCTTACTCAGGGCTTGCCCTCTGTGTAAGTGCTGTGATTGGTGGGTGTGTTCAGTAGATTTAGGCTTGTTGTGGAGTCAGTTGCTTGGATTAGTTTAAAGAGGTTGGTGATAATCATAATCAGAACCAACTCACGTATCATTTACTGTGCACCAGGTACTGTTGTAAGTTCTTCCGTATATTAACTTACTTAACCCTGTGAGGAAAGTATGATTATTGTCTCCTTGTTATGCTTGAGGAGAGTGAAGTCATTCTTAAGGTCACACAACTTATACATGGCAGAGCACGGCTTTAGCTTCCGCTCCTTCATCCCTGTCCTGCACTGCCATTCAGGGCCAAAGGAGGCATTTGGGGCTGCTAATTTCATGACTCCCAGTGTAAATGAGAGTCCTAGGCTTGTGTAGGGAGGTGGCCCTGGACAACTAGTTCTTGTTCTTCTATTTCATTTAACAAAACACCAACTTTTAAATAACTTTTCTTATAAAGGCGATTGCATATATATTGTAGAAAATTTCATAAATACAGAAAAGCATAATAAAAAAAAAACCCCATTAGTTCCATCACTTAGGATAACTGTTTAATCTGTCTCTCCTTTCCTCCGTCTTCCCCTCCCCCATCTCAGCTGTCCAAAGAAAAACTCACATGTTTCTCGGGGGGAAATACTTTACATGAGAATGTGTTGAAAATTTAAGAGGAAGCATAGTTTGAATATGCAGGTAATTACATTCCCTGCAGGTCTTAGATAGTGATCATAGTAATCGGTTGGAATTAATGTCACATTTGCCCTTTTCAGGGTCGACAAGAAGATGCCGAGGAATACTTGGGCTTCATTCTAAATGGACTTCATGAGGAAATGTTGAACTTAAAGAAACTTCTCTCACCAAATAATGATAGTAGGTTATGATGTATTTGCTACAAAAATGTGTGAGAACATTTTCTTAAGAATTATTTATTTTATTTTATTTTTAATTCTCACCCAAGGATAGTTTTTTCCATTGATTTTTAGAGAGAGAGTGGGAGGAAGGAGTCAGGGGAGAGACAGAAAGATACATGGATTAGTTGCTTCCTGTATGCACTCCAACCAGGGCTGGGGATTGAACCTGCATCCCAGGTATATGCCCATGATTGGGAATCGAACTGTGACCACCTGGTGCATAGGTCCACCCTCAACACTCAGCACACTGCCTGGGCTGTTGTGTTTGTTCTTGGTGTAGAGCAGCGGTTCTCAACCTGTGGGTCACGAACAATGAAAATACATCCTGCATATCAGATATTTACATTACGATTCACAACAGTAGCAAAATTACTCTTGTTATGAAGTAGCAACGAAAATAATTTTATGGTTGGGGGTCATCACAACATGAGGAGCTGTATTAAAGGGTCGTGGCATTAGGAAGGTTGAGAACCACTGGGTAGAGTCTTGATGTAGAACCCTGATTGTGTTCTTAAGACTACAAATGACAAATCTGTGTAGGTGATGTCTGTAGAACTTTTTTTATTTTAATGTTTTTGCTGTTCTTGTGAAGAGTATCCTAAGCAGACTGTCTGTTTTCCAGAACTTCCTATTTCCAATGGACCCAAAAGCTACTCAATTAATGAGGAAGAGCAGGAAGAACCAGGTGAAGGAAGTGAGGACGAATGGGAGCAAGTGGGCCCCAGAAATAAGACTTCAGTCACTCGCCAGGCGGACTTCGTTCAGACCCCAATCACTGGCATTTTTGGGGGACACATCAGGTTCATGTTTTTCTGGAATACTTTAGTATTTGCCTTTTTCAAGGTTCAGAGATTTTGCTAAAGGGGGGAGGTGTAAGACTTGTCCTAAGACATTTTGACTTGCTGGTTTCCCTCTATACTTCTGTGTACTCTCCTCTTGGACTTCTAACACTTCTCTTGCCAGGCACCACTGCTCTCATCCTACCCATTGTGGCCTTTCGGCAGAGGGTGCCGTACCCCATGGACCTTTCTG